GAATTGCTTGGCTGAAGGATCCTGGGAAATGTTTTACCTTATCTGGGTGGTAGCTTGGATGATGGTTCTTTTCAGAAGATCCCGGATATCCCGGATAAGATCTGCTTCCTAAAGAAAAAATGGGAGAATTCCATGGATCTGGAGCAGGAAACACAATCCTGAGGAACAATTTGTGGATAAATCCTTACATTTCCTTATTTACTCTCACTTTGTTACGGGAAAACCTGGAATTTTGGAGTCAGCAGATCCTGAGGGAACTCAGCTCTAAACCTACGGAGGCTGAAAAACCTGGAATACTTCTACAGTCTGGGAATTCTGTGGGTTCCATGGAAAAGTCTGTGAGCTATCCTGTTAGGGAAGGAATTGTTCCCTGGCACAGATTCCCAGAGAAGTTGTGGCTGCTCCATCCCTGGAATGTCCAAGGCCAGGCTGGACAGGGCTTGGAGAAACCTGGGATGGTGGGAGAGGGTGGGAATAGTGGGAAGAGGTGGGAATTGATGATTTTTAAGCTCCCATCCATCCCAAACCATTCCAGGATTCCACTATCCTGTCAGATTAAATGGAATAAATGAATTCCTTGCTTGGTTTTGAGACAGGGAAAATCCAGGGAATATCCCCATGCCTGAAACCAGATTCATCAATGAGATTTAAAATCTTTTCCAACCTAAAATTTTCCCTGAATTTTGTAACAATTCCCAGATGGAATTGGGAGAATTGTGAATTCCTACACCAACTCTTCCCTGTTCATATTTTTAACTGGGAAAACCTCTTCAATATTGATTATAAATTGGAAATTCCACACAATTCCCATTCAAAATATTCCCAAATCCTATCATGTCCTCTCCGTGGAATCCTAGAATATCCTGAGTTGGGAAGGATCCACAGGGATCAAGCAATTCCTGGTTCTTCCCAGGATAATCCCAAAAAATCCCAGCAGGTGCCATTGTCCAAACATTTCAGTTGGATCCCTTAAATTAATATTAATTATTGCAATATTATAAAATATTAATAAAAATAATCTATTTTGAATATTTAATGAGTGGTTTAATGAGTGGCTGATCAGGAACTGGTTTTGATTGGAGGCTGCAGGTGAAGAATCATTAATTAATTGACGGGATATTGGAATATATATTTATGGGATATTGGACTGTTATTCCAGGATGGAAAATACCCTGGAAAATACCTGGAAAACACAGATTTTGTACAATCCAGCACAAGAATGACGCTGGAATTTGACAGGAATCTCAGTGACAGGGTTGGATCGTCACCTTGGCAAAACTCAGGGAAAATTAATGGCAGAAACTGTCAAAATTTGGACAATTTGAGGATGGGAACAGCCAAGGAATATCCCGGTGTTCCCGAACCTTTGGAGTGTGGAGTTTTCAAGTGGAGGGGATTTCAAGGTGAGGGGAGAAGGAATTTCTGTCAGGATCGGAGTCTTGTGGTGCTGCAGGAAAACTCCGGGCTGGTTCTCTTGGGATTTGAGCTGAGGGAGGGATCAGCTCTCCCCCAGACACTTCTCAAAGTGATTTGATCCCTTCACAGAGTGACTTGAAACACTTCACAGAGTGACTTGATCCCTTCGAGAAGGGATTATGAAACACTTTACAAAGTGATTGGATCACAAAGTGATTTGAAGCACTTTACAGAGTGACTTGAAACACTTCTTGAACAAAGCAAGGACTTGAAAAAAAATCCTTGGAGTGACACCGGCAGTCCAGGAAGGGGCACCAGGAATGGCGGGAGACACTTCCAGCACTGGAAGTGAACATTCCACTCATTGCTGCTCCTCGTTTCAGCGCTGGCACCACCAGGGGTGTCACTGCCAGGGTGGCACTGTCAGGATGGCACTGTCAGGGTGGCAATGTCAGAGGTGGCACTGTCAGGGTGTCATGGCCAGGGGTGTCACTGTCAGGGTGGCAATGTCAGGGTGTCACTGCCAGGGGTGTCACTGCCAGGGGTGGCACTGTCAGAGTGTCATTGTCAGGGGTGTCACTGTCAGGGTGTCACTGCCAGGGTGTCACTGCCAGGGGTGGCACTGTCAGGGGTGTCACTGCCAGGGTGTCACTGCCAGAGTGTCATTGTCAGGGGTGTCACTGTCAGGGTGTCACTGCCAGGGGTGGCACTGCCAAGGTGGCACTGCCAGGGCAGCAGTACCATGGTTGTGCCCAGCCTCAGGCCGTGCCCACCTTCAGCAGCTGCCTCTCCACCTCATCGATCACCAGGTCCGGGGGCTGCCGCCGGTCCCGGCACTCCAGGTTATCGATGACAACCGCGTAGGGCACCTCGGTGGCATCGAGCGCCCGCTCCAGCCGCAGCTTCTGCGCCGCCAGCATGTTGGTCTCGTTGTCCAGATCCATGATCTCCTTCTGCAGCTCCACCCTCCAGAACTGGATGTCCTGCAGCCGCTGGCCCAGCGTTGCTCTGGAGTATTCCTGGGCTCGCTGCGCGTTGGCGGCCGCCTGCTTCATCAGGTGCGCGGCCTCGGCGCGGCCCCGCTCCGCCTCCTCGCCCGCCGACACCGCCTTGGAGCAAACGCCGGCGTTGCGGCGCTGCCACTCGGGCATCTGGTACTTGGCAGTGCGGAAGCCGGCCATGGCCATGCCGCAGCAGGAGCGCGGCCGCTCGCTGCGGGCCACATGGCAGATCTTGGTGGGCAGCGGGCAGGAGGGAAGCACCGCGGGCTGCGGCTCCTCGGGCTGCGCCATGGCGGAGCCTCCCCTCAGCGCCGCAACCGCCGGCTGGGCGGGCCCGCAGGGTGATGGACGGCCGCGAGCGCCAATCAGAGAGAGTGTGAGCGCTGAGAGCGGCGCTGATTGGTTAGTAGGGAGTGTGGGCCCGCCCCCTCACTGCACGCGGATCGTTGCCATGGTGACGGGGACGCGGTTCCGTTCAACCGGGAATGGTGAGGGGGAAAGAAATGGGAAAAGGGAAAAAAATGGGGGGAAAGGGGAAGAAGGAGGAAAAAAGGGCAAAAAAGGGGAAAAGGGGGAAAAATGGGGAAAAAGGGGAAAAAGAGGAAAAAAGGGGAAAAAAGGGGAAAAAAGGGAACACCGGGAAAAGGGAACACCGGAATAAAGTATTCATCCCAGAGCTGCTTTCCTCATCCCGGTGTTCTTGTTCTTATCCCGGTGTTCCCGTGTCCTCATCCCAATCCGTCCCAATCCCTGTCCGACATCCCGGTGTTCCCGTGTCCCTTCCTTGTGTTCCCGTCCTCATCCCGGTGTTCCCATCCTCATCCCGGTGTTCCCATGCCCCTCATCCCGGTGTTTCCCTGTCCTTATCCCGGTATTCCCGCGTCCTTTCCCGGTTTTCCCGGCACTCCCATCCCTGCAGGAGCCGCTCGCCCCCGCAGCTCCAATTCCCCGTCTGGAGCAGGGAAAAAAACCTGGAGCGATCCCAATCCCAACATTCCCGGCTGGCCGCTCCCGGTGTGGAGGGACGGGAGGGGCCGGGCACATCCAAGGGAATTTTGGGATGAAGGAAAGTGGCTGCGCCAGAGGGAGGAATTTTTATCCGGGCTGGAGCGGGATTGGAACACAGGGATTCCATTCCCGGCGTTCGGACTGGGAAATGCTCCGGGATAAAGGGAAAACTTGGATGTGCTGGGATTTGGGGAAGGAAGGGGGGGATTTCTCCTATTCCAGGTGCTGCTGGATCTGATCCCAGTGCTGTGCCTGGAGTTTTGGGGGATCCGGACATTCCCGCATCCCACGGCTCCAGGGGGAAAAGGCCGCGTTCCCAAATTCCTGGAGCTTTGTCCCGGCAGGGTGGGTGGGGTGTCCGAGCCTTTGGATCCCACGGGAATTGCTGAATCCAGGGAATCGGGGCTGCTCCCATCCCCAAATCCATCCCCACAGGCAGTCCTGGCCCAACCCGCTGATCCTGGGATCGGAGGGGAGGCCAGAATTCCTGGGAGCTCTTGGAATTCTCCGGCTGCTTCTGTGGAGCAGGAAAAGAGTTGGAATCCGCAGGCGGCCAAGGATAAAGTGATGGAATTCCAAATTTCCTGGATGCAAAATCCAAGGGAGAAACGCCCGGGGCGGGGGGGAGGGGGGGGGTTGAAATTGATTTAATCCCTATTTTAACCAAATCCAGGGAAAATCCTGTTAGAAGCTCAGTGCGGATTTTCCGAGCCCAGGGAATGTTCCATCCCAGCCAGGGAATCCTCTGGATCAGCCGGATTTGGGAGCACGGAACAGCTGCAAAAATCCCTTCCCTTCCTTTCCTTGGGAGCTGCAGCTCCGGGAGAGCTCCTGGAGCTGTTCCAGGCACGGATGCCTCTGGAAAAAAAAACCTTTGGAATTCTTTTCCTTAACCTTCTTTTCAGGAAAAGAGAAGGATTTCCAAGCGGATTTAATTTGGGAGGCTGGAATATTCCCTCTTCCCTTTCTTCCCTCTTTGCCTTTATTTCTTTGGATTGAATTCCTTGTTTTCCACACAGGGATCATTCCTTGTTTTCCACACAGGGATCATTCCTTGTTTTCCAAAGCTTCTTTCAGGAAGGGAAAAGCAGGAAGGGAACGGGAGCTTCCCTATAAAATATTCACGGGCTCAGCTCCGCTGGAGCCTCCTGAGGAATTTTGGGATCTGGGATAATGAGGCTCCGCTGCTCTTCCCGCGTTTCCGCCTCCTCCCGGCTCATCCTTTATTCATGTGCCCTTTCCATGACTTTTCGGGATGGCTTTTCCTGAAGGAGCTTTTGATCCCTTTGTTCCTGCTCGAGGAAGGGAAAACACCGCTGGAAAATTGGGAGATGGGAATTTCCTTGGTGGGATTGGTTTATATTGGATGGGATTTTCCGGAGCATCCCATTCCAGCCCTGCCGTGGACATTCAGGAATTCTTTCATCCCGGCCTTTCACTGAAGGCTGGAAAATTGATGGGAAAGAAGGAGGAATTCTTTTCCTCCCCGAATCTTGTGGAGCCTCCTGGAAAAGCTTTCCTGGAAAAGCTTTCCCATTCCAGGATGAGCTGGAGGCTCCGGGTCATTCCCAGGATGGCTCATTTTGCCCTTTTCCATCTTTTTGTTTTATCCCAAAATTCCCCATTTTGTGGGATTGACCCTGGAATGGTGAGGCTGGGATGATCCTGGATTGCTCCTGGAATTGGGAAACTCATCCCATTCCAAGCCCAGCACATCCCATTATCCCGGGGTGCTCCAATCCTCATCCAGCCTTTCCTTGGGCGCTTCCAGGGATCCAGGGGCTTCTCTGGGAATTCCAGCCCAGCCCCTCCCACCCTCCCAGCCAGGAATTCCTTCCCAAAATCCCATTTTTCCCCGCCCTCTGGCAGTTGGGAGCCATTCCCCCTTTTCCTGTCATTCCATACCCTTGGGAATGTCCCCTCTCCATTTTTCCCAGAGATTTCAATCATTCCCACCCAGCTGAGAGGATTTTCCTGGAAAAACCAAACTGAGGTGGTTTTATCCCATTTTTTTTTATTATTATTATTTTTTGGCGCCGGGAATTCTCCATCCTTGGAATGGCAAGAGGGAAATCCAGGAGAGTGGGAATTCCAAGCGAGGGGAAAACGGGATAACACCAGCGGAGAGTGGGAGAGATTCCAGCGGGAGTGAGGTCAGCGGGAATCCTCGGCAGGAAAACCCGGCTGGTTCCCATGGAAACGCCCAGGATTTCACACTCCACCGCTTTAAAGCCGACATTCCATAAAAAAAAAAAAACGGGAAAAACCCCGGGAGGGAATCCTGAGGGAACCCCTTTCCTTCACGGAATGCCTGGATAAACAGGAATATTTGGGAGAGGAGCAGAATTCCCAGGAGCTGTTCCCAGTTCAGACTTCCAGGTGATTTTTCCAAGATTCCAGAGGGTTTGGAATTGTTTTGCCTTGGGATAATCAGCGGCACAAGGAGCTTGTTGGAAATTAAAGGAATTTTAAGGGATAATGAAAGAAAATTAAGGGGAAAATTAATAGGGTTAATTAATTAATAGGGAATAGGGGGAGCTTGGAGGTCAAAAATCCATAAAATTCCTGGTTTTCTTCTCAGGAAAAAGATGGAATTCCTGGATTTGGGAGGAAAAAAGGAATTTTAAGGAGGATTTTTCCATCAATGAGTTGCCACAGGCAACGGGAATTCCATTCCCTGAATTTGGGAATTCCTGAGTGGAGCAGGGATTCCCTCCCAGCAGCAAAGGCCATGGAAGAGGGAAAATCAGGGAATGCAGCTGGAAAATCCAATGGAAAAGAATGAAAAAGACAGAATTCCCGAGTTTGAGCTTTTGTGGATCAGGAAGGTTTGGAATTGTGGGAGGAAACGGGAAGGGATTTTCTGGGATGGGTGGGAATGGGAATTGACAAAAATCTTCCAAAATTGATCCTCGAAAACTCAAAATAATCCGGATTTTTGGGGATGATTCCCAAACTCCAGTGGCAGTGCTGGGATGGGAAAATCCAGGGAGAGAATTCCAAAAGAAATCCATGGATTTAGCCAGGAGCAAGGATGAAATGGAATTGGGAATTTTGTTATTCCTTATCTCCTTTGGATCAATTTATTGGAGCCAAAAGATCCCCAAAATCCACTGGAAACAGGAAATAAAGCAGGAATGAACCCCAGGGACAGCCCGGAATCTTGGGAAGCTGCTCCAAGCTTTCCCTGGGAATCCTGCTGGAATGAAAGACCCCCTGCAGGGCAATCCCAAACCTTTGGAATTAGGGAATGGTTTGGGCTGGGAATCTCATCCAGTTCCATCCCACAATTCCCGGCCGTTCCAAGCTCCGTCCTTGCACATTCCCGGGATGAGGCAGCCACGGATTCTTTGGGAATGCTGTTCCAGACCGGCACACCAGGGCTTTTAGGGAAGCTGAGCATTCCCATTGTGGAAATTCCTGAGGGAATTGGGTTGGAGGCCTGGCAGGACATTGGGAACAGAAGGAAAGCGAAGCAGATGAAAGGAAAATTCCCAGATTATCCTTGGGATGCGGGATGGGAAGAAGCTGCCGGGCTCCGGAGGGAGCTCCTTCCCGCCTTTCCCACTCCCGCATTAAAGCCATTATCCCACTTTTCCCTGGCTGGAATTCCCTTGTGGAGGATCCTTTCAGCCTCTGGATCATTCCCAAAGATTTGTTCCCATCCAGGCCCCGGAGCCAAAGCCGGGCTTTGCCAGGCCAGGCTTTGCGAGGCCTCCCGGGAATGGCCGGAGCAGAGCAGGGATGAGGCCGCAGGGCTGGGAGCTGCTCCAGAGGGAATTTTCCGGAATCTTCCAGCTGGATTTGCTGGGATGAGCTCCGGGCTGTGCTTCCCTCCAGGTCTGGAGCATCCAGGGGAAGCTCTGGAATGGGAAAGGTTTTGTCTTCTGGAGCTGGGATCAGCCGTGATTTCATTCCCATTTTCCTGGTTTTTTTATGGATTTGGGAGGGAATTCCTGGCTCTTCAGCCCCTCAGGAGGTTCAGGACGTCTCTGGTGATCCCAGAAATCTGGGGTGATCCCACAGAATCTGAGCAATCCCAAACTGCTCCCACCTGGATCTAAAATATTCCCAACCCACTCCAGTGCGTCCTGCTGCTCATTCCTTCCAGGATCATCAAATCCTGGGATTCTGGGATCATCAAATCCCGGGAAAGTTTGGGATGGAAAGGATTTTACAGCTCATCCAATTCCATGGGCAGGGACAATTCTCCCTATCCCAAATTCCTCCAAGTCCCATCCAACCTTGGACACTCCCAGGGATGGGAATTCTCTGGAATATCCCTGCCCATCTCAAATCCCGGGATGCTGATCCCACAAAAGCTGCTCCAGGGAAAGAACTTTGAGGGCCAGGAAGGTTTTTCTGAGATTTGTGGGGCAG